TCATAGAAATTGTGCATATTATTATATATAGAGTTCATAGAAATGTTTCTAGGTTTGAGCAGTCTTTTGAACTGGCATGGAAATGTTCAACTGGTTTAACTTGTGCCTTTGAACTGCCTGGCTGCAGAGGGAACCATGGACCATCTTTAGTAGGATTTTTTTACTGAGTAAAGTGTGAAGGAAAACACCAGGAATCCTGACCCTGACTTGGGGACAGTAGCACAGAGAAAAGAACACTGAAAGGAGTTTGTTGGTGTTGCCATCAGATCTATCTCTGGTGTCCCACTTCATAATGATCTCCTGCTCCTTGAGAACTTGAAAGTATGAATCCGATACTGTAATTTGAGGACTTGGAAAAATAAAACCCCTTAAGGAAAGAACATATCGTTCCACTCAGTGGAAAATTTCTGCTAAAATATGGAGCAAAAAGCTCCTTTTTGAGACACAGGCCTCTGCCAATTTGTTGTTCATCAGCAAGTTGACATTATGTCCCTGCAAATGCTTTCGGTGCTTTCAGTTATTTCCATGCTGCTGTCAGTTCTAGCTTGTTTGTGAATGAAGAATGGGATGGCACCATCTGCTCTGGAGCAGTGTCCTTCTTACTTCCCTTCCCACTGGTGTCAGTAATAAGTGTGATCCCATCTGTAATGTTGAGAGGTAAACCATCATTTAGATTGGAAAATTTTGTCCACCACATTTAGACTTACCTGATGAACTGAGGAAGGGAGATCACTTAGTTTAACGACTGATGATCCCTCTGTTGTAGAAAAACAAACTGTAGATGTCTTAAATGCCAGTGAGCCCATACTGCAGTGGGGGGATTGATGATGTCATCAGACCTATAATCCTAATGCACTCTCCCTCTGAAGTGGACTGTGCTTCTTTCAAGGTCTGAATCACTGAGGCTAACTGGATAATCTTCTTTGGAAGAAAGGGACACACGTCCATGTGCCGTGTTGAAAATGACCATTATTCCCATCTCTCTTCGTATTCCAGTCTTCGTGTAAGAGCTAATTGGCTATTTGGGGCTTTGATTACTCACCAACATTTGCATAGGACTTCCAGGATTGTTAACCAGTGATTTATCAATCCAGTTTTGTGTATGCCAGCAAAGACAACTCTCAGGTAATGGAAAATGTTGATGCTGTTCAGGCAAAGGGGAGCTACCACAGCTAGGAGACTCACTGAAAATGTTCACAAAGCCAAGGTGAGAGAAAGGGAGACATGCAAACTGTTAGTGCTCACATGTCTCACATGTCTCTAAATTGTGAATCTGAGATACTGGGGATGTGCAGGTTAGATTGGTATATGTACAGTTGTGTCCAAAATTATTCAACCCCCCAATGCTGTAAAGGGGTTTAGGGACTATAGTGTACATTTGGAATTGTATTCAGAATCAAATCCTACAAGGACGTTGTAACTACCCAAATGCAACTAAAATGACATCAATTGTTTATGTAATACAGTAGTAAATGGTTCTTATGTGGTTTCTTCATTGCCACAATTATTCAACCCCTTAAAGACTACCACTCTGAAGAACAGAGGTTCATACAGGTGCTTTCCATCAGGTATTGAAAACACCTGTGGATGTCACCGAGCAGCAATCAAGCATAATAAGCACCAATTAGGCAGCTTTAAAATGACTGTGATACTCAGCTCCTTCTAGACATTTACTGGTGTGGTTACAAACATGGTGAAGGCAAGAGAATGGTCCAGGAAGACAAGAGAAGAGGTGATTTCTCTTCACAGGAAGGGCAATGGCTATAAGAAGATTGCAAAGATGTTAAACATACCAAGAGACACCTTAGGAAGCATCATTCGCAAATTCAAGGCAAAGGGCACTGTTGAAACGCTACCTGGTCGTGGCAGAAAGAAGATGCTGACTTCGACTGCTGTGCGCTACCTGAAGCGTAGAGTGGAGAGAAGTCCCCGTGTGACTGCTGAGGAACTGAGAAAAGATTTGTCAGATGTGGGTACAGAAGTTTCAGCCCAGACAATAAGACGCACACTGCGTAATGAAGGCCTCTGTGCCAGAACTCCCAGGCGTACCCCCTTGCTGTCTCCAAAGAATAAGAAGAGTCGACTGCAGTATGCCAAAAGCCATGTGGACAAACCACAAAAGTTGTGGGATAGTGTTCTGTGGACTGATGAAACAAAATTAGAACTGTTTGGGCCCATGGATCAACGCTATGTTTGGAGGAGGAAGAACAAGGCCTATGATGAAAAGAACACCTTGCCTACTGTGAAGCATGGTGGAGGGTCAATCATGCTTTGGGGCTGTTTTGCTTCTGCAGGTACAGGGAAGCTTCAGCGTGTGCAAGGTACCATGAATTCTCTTCAGTACCAGGAGATATTGGATGGAAACGTGATGCAGTCCGTCACACACCTGAGGCTTGGGAGACGTTGGACCTTTCAACAGGACAATGATCCCAAGCATACCTCCAAGTCCACTAGAGCATGGTTGCAGAGGAAAGGCTGGAACATTTTGGAGTGGCCATCGCAGTCACCAGACTTAAATCCGATTGAGAACCTCTGGTGGGACTTAAAGAAAGCAGTTGCAGTGCGCAAGCCTAAGAATGTGACTGAACTGGAGGCCTTTGCCCATGAAGAATGGGCGAAGATACCCGTAGATCGCTGCAAGACACTTGTGTCAAGCTATGCTTCACGTTTAAAAGCTGTTATAACTGTAAAAGGATGCTGTACTAAGTACTAAGATTGAATGTCACTTGGGGGTTGAATAAAACTGATAATGCTGTGAGCACAGAAAAGACATTTGTGGTTATTTCATTATAACTGTTATGTTATATTTGTCTGACCTACAAGTGCCTCTTTAATGTAAATGTAAGCAAGATGACTGAATGATCAAAAGCAATGTCAAACTGGCCAAAACACTCAATTTCAGTGGGGGGTTGAATAATTTTGGACACAACTGTAGGTATGCTTCAGGCAAGTCTACTGACAGCATCCAGTTGTGAAGATGTACTACTGAGTTGAATGCCAACTTGATGAACACATTTAAACATTTTAGATCCACTACAAGCATTCACATTCCCAAGGATTTTCTGGTCAGGAAAATGGGGGAATATGCACCTTTTTAGGTACTAGAACTGTGACCGTGGAAGATGGCAGTTCTAGAATATATGCATTCACTAACATCTGATACTCTCTCTATGATGAAACATAAGTCTTGAGGAATTATTTTTTTTTTAACGTATTATTTTTTTAAATGTCACTTGCTGTGCCCTAACTCCTCTTTCCCTAGGTCGATTACCTATTTTGAACTCTGTTAAAAAGTGACTGGTGCACAGTTTCCTCCACCCCACAGAGTCAAGGATTCTGTCTTTAGGTGAAAGGCTAGTCTACAGAGAGGCCTGGGAGTCCCTATCTAATTCCAGGGGGCAAGAGAGCTACAAGTGCTGGAGTTGCATATGGTTTTTTTGCTTAGCTAGTGTTTTCATGAACTGCAATCTGCTTTCATCAAATTCAGTTGAAGGTTGAAGATACTGTGACATATTTGTATTCATTTACTTTCAGCCTTTCCAAAAATTTCTTTCTAGCTGAACTTAAATGTAACATAATAAGCTCTCCAGGGCCTACGCCTCTTTTTTTTTTTTGTGCAATGGGCAAATTAAGGACGATTATCTAAAAAATATTGTATTGTGGTTACTGTATATGGTATTGCATGTGATGATAGCACCCAGTTTTTAATTCCTTGATTTATAGTTAGAGAGCAAGAACATATTTGAATTGGAATACAGATTTTTTTAAAACCATAGTGCACAACATGGCTTTTAAACTACGGCCAAAGGGATTAAAAGACCCACCCTCTAGAGCAATTATAATGCTAGTGTATTGAAAGCATGCTATAAGGAAAGGAAAACTGACAAATTGCATAGGGAGAATAGACCGCTAGAAATCTCCTTAAAGAGGACCTGTCAACTCCCTTGTTAGCGCCCTTGTGATAGCAATAAAGTTAAATTAAAAGGTTAAAAAATAATAATAAAAAAAATAATTAGAAAAAATAAAAGTAACCTCTTTGTCTGTGCATATGTACAAATACAAATGTGTGTGTGTATGTAAACAGTAATTGCACCACACATTATACACAATATAGATCACCACCAATGTTGGAGTAAAGCAATTATTATAGGGCAATCATTTACTGTGTACTCTAAACTGATGAGCTGTGAAAGCATTTAAAGAGTCACCTATTCATAATTTTGGGTACTATAATTTTTGGCATTTCACGGCAACATGCAGTTTTGAGGTTTGACACGTTTGATATCTGTTTACTCTACACTACCTCATATTTTATTTTGTAGAAAAAATGGAGATTAAAGTGTGTTTTTTTATCACTAAAATTTATTGTAGTGTATCTTTTCCTGAAAATCATGTATAAATTTTGATAAACGGTAGCACAAAAATTGTGCAACATAAAACATTGCAACTACCATCTTTTTATTTCACAGGGTTGCTGTTTTCAGAAAATATATCATGTTCTGGAAGGTTCAGTCATTTTATAGTTAAAAAATGTAGATTTTAATGTGTGTGCAAAAAAAATTTAACTTTGCAGTGGAGGGAACCTGGTTAAAATTGTGTTGCTGCTGGCCAATTTTACACAGCAGTGTCATCTGCAGTCTCTTAACCACTTGCCTACCAGGCACTTATACCCCCTTCCTTACCAGGCCAATTTTCAGCTTTCAGCGCTGCCGCACTTTGATTGACAATTGCGCGGTCATGCAACATTGTACCCATATGAAATTTTGATAATTTTTTTCTCACAAATAGAGCTTTCTTTTGGTGGTATTTAATCGCCACTGGGCGCTTTACTTTTTGTGCTATAAATTAAAACAGTGCAAAAAATTTGAAAAAAAAAAAAAGTTTCTTTGTTTCTATTATAAAATTTTTCAAACAGGTATTTTTTCTCCTTCACTGATGTGCGTTGATGAGGCAGCACTGATGGGCACTGATAGGCGGCACTGATGGGCACTGATAGGCAGCACTAAAGGGCACTGATAGGCAGTACTAATGAGGTGGCCTGGATAGGCGGCACTGATAGGCAGCACTAATGAGGTGTCACGGATATGCGGCACTAATATGCAGCACTGATAGGCAGCACTGATAGGTGACACTGATGATGGGTACTGATAGATGGCACTGACTGGCATCACTGCTGGGCCCTGAGTGGCGGCACTGACTGGCACAACCGCTGGGCACTGACTGGTGGCACTGACTGGCAGCACTGCTGGGCTGCACTGGTGTGTGGCACTGGTGGGCAGCACTGGTGGGTGGGCACAGGTGGGTGGCACTGGTGGGCAAAGGGGGTGGCACTGGTGGGCACAGGTGGGTGGCACTGGTGGGCACAGGTGGGTGGGCACAGGTGGGTGGCACTGCTGGGCACAGGTAGGTGGCAATTCTGGGGCACAGGTGTGTGACACTGCAGAGTGGCACAGGTGGGTGCACTGCTGGGCACAGGTGGGCGGAGCTAGTGGGCGCACTGCTGGGCACAGGTGGGCGGAACTTGTGGGTGGCACTGCTGGGCACCGATCATCAGGGCACTGAACATCAGTGGCCCTGATGATCGGTGCCGATCCTCGCTCTGACAACTGCCGGTTCTCGGCAGTACTTTCCTCACGATCTGACAGCATGAGGAAAGTGCAGCCGAGAACCGGCACTTGCATTTCCCTGTGATCAGCGTGTCATTGGACACCGCTGATCACGTGGTAAAAGGCCGGTATGATCGGCCTTTTACCACATCACGTGATCAGCTGTGTCCGTAGGACACAGCGATCACGGAGATCGCCGGGTGCGCGCCCCCTGGGGCGCGCAGGAGAGCGCGTTCTGGGGGGACGTCATATGACGTCCACCCAGAACTGGCCGGCCGCAGTGAAGCCGTCATTCGGCTATCTGCGGTCGGCAACTAGTTAATTCTTGTAGTAAAACCTGAGCCTGTACATTTTATCTTTAGTAAATTCCAGCCAAATCTACCTCTTTAAAAATGTCCTGTTGCTAGACAATTTTACATTGCTTGATCATGTGCAGTATCTTAATTCTTAATTAGAGTTTTTATTTGAAATTTCCTCAGCAGCAGGAAACTTTTGCATCAGAGTAGGGCACCCTTAGTAAACTAGTGGCCAGTTTTATATGTGCCAGTCAAAGTGGACCTAGTGCCGCTTGATGAAAATGCATGTATCCCTTCTAAAACTGCCCGACAAAGACTTTCTTTGGCTTGCTTCTGTGTACGATGTTGGGGAGATTGATCATGAAAGAGCACTGCTCTGTAACACCACATTATTGCAGTGAATGGCATTTATTTCATTTATTGTTAGCTGTATTTGTTAGCCTGCATTGTTTCTTAGATACACAGAATATAACTGGATACTAACAATTATAGTTAAAGTTGATCCATGGAATATCAGTTTGCTTCTCGGGGGATCAGGAAGGAATTTTTTTCCAAGCAGGAGCAAATTGGATCATGCTTTGCTGGGGGTTTTTTTTGCCTTCCTCTGGATCAACTGTGGGTATAGGATTATAACTTTTTTTTTCTATGGTTGAACTGGATGGACTTTTGTCTTTTTTCAGCCAGACTAACTAGGTAACCCCCACATGTCAATGCACCACAGTATATTGCAACGCACTGATGTACAGGGACCTAAAAGAAGTGTAATTTTTTTTGACAATTTAAATAAAGCTACAAAAATAGTAATGATATGATGTAACAGCATATTCCACCTTTGCTTACTGCTCCTACACAGTGCACACCACTGGCAGACAGTTGTAACATGATGCTGGTGATAATTAGTCTTTACATTTTTTGTACAGATAATTACAGGGTAACTCCACTTTCGTGGGAAAAAAATTAACAAATAAAAAAAAATAATATAAAAAAAAAAATCTGAAGAATATATTTAAAAATGTTTTTTAAATATATTTCTTCAAATTTTTTTAACATATAAAAAAGTCCTTTTTACATATATTTGTAAATGCATTCCAAAAATGTAGATTTATGTTTTTAAAGACATACAGTATATTTGTAATGTATTTTTAACAATTTTTTTAACTATTTTTTCATATATTTTGTAATAAAAACGCATTTCAACATACAGTAGTATATATATATATATATATATATATATATAGTGAAATATATTTTGTATATATATTGAACATGGCCAAAATTGTAGCATTTCAAATATATGTCAATATATTTGGGAAGCATATTTTTAAAATATAATTCAAATATATTTTTTTTCTTCCATATGGGTAATGCCACCACACTGTAAAAACAAAATGCCTGAACCAATCTGCACAATGTCAACCATGACTGGGGTTTACAAGCTTACAAGGAAGATACATGCTCCTAAGATGAACAACACCCTGATGACCTGCCATGCACAATAATCCTGCTCCCTGTGGAATGAAAAGTGCCCATATTTGGTCACTGACATCACCCAAGGTACCCAGACAGTTTGTGTGGACATTGAGCTGCGGGCCAGGGAGCTGTCATTTTCTGTGGGAGCAGGATTGTTGTGCGTGGGTAGTCATGTTTATTTTATCCGGTCTTTGGTGCATCATTCATTCTGATTGATGTTGATTCTAAATTCCTCCTATAGACTTCAGTGGGGTTTGGGAGCTATGTTAGGGTTTGCAGATTGTTTTCAGTTGTTCTGGAAATAACCACCAAAATGATTTTTTTTTTTGCTGTGGTTTCACTCTTTACCAATTATTTTTAAGTATTGTTGTTTTTACCACATTTAGCTAGAAAGAATTGTTTTCCTACAATACCCTTATGCAATTTTTTTTCTTTGACCTTTAATAAGAACAGACTGAAAGTCATTGATAATGGGGGACATAAAAAATAATTGTTGTCATTCAAACTAATAAAGACATAGTTTGTTTACTCCAAAGTAGTTTTTCTGATTAGCATGCTAATGATCAAAAGTACTCTAAATGGAGTTGTGGCAGGAGATTGATTTTTTAATTGAAAGGAAAGTTGTGTGGGTGAATAAAACAATGAAAGTAGTATTTGTATCTGAATGTTAATGAAGTTTAACTTGATACACATGAAAAATTGGTTTTTTGCCTGTCAATGAGATTTGTTTGATAGGCAAAGAACCATGAACAAAGTGGTAAGCTGCAAAAAAATCACATCACTTTAATTACCAATGCATATCCTCAATATATAGAAACTCTGGACTTGTGGGGCTTGTGGGTATGAGGGGATCACATCCAGTAAACCAAAGGTTCTACTGGCCAAACACCTAAAAAGATGGTTATTTGATGTAATAATTCTAATAAAAAAACAGGTGGGCAATGATAATTTTGATCAATAAACTATAGTTTCCTTTAAAAAAAATGATCATTCATGATAGAAAGTCTCATTTTTTTATTTCTATTTCATTGGTTTATTTTTTTTTTTCTTTGTTGCATTGCTTATGTTTTTAAATGGAAATTTCTTTAAGACAATCTCATTTACCACTTATTGGTATATGTATGGAAAGCATTAGTTTACCTGATCTCTCAGTTGGTGAAGATCTTTAATTTATCTCAGCTGGCTCAGATCTTTAATTTATGGGATGTAATCAGGAACTTGTTTTTTGCTAAACACATTGAACATATTACAATGATCTAATGTATAAACAGATTTAAGATGTACTGTATTATTCACTGACAAACACATAGAAAAAAACTCCTCTGCAGTGGCTGCACAGCTCACATATCCAAAGTTGGGGTCTAGGATTTGGTTCTAGTATGGTTTTTGTGGGTGACTGCATTTATATTATATTATATATTATATTATTATTTTATTGCAATCATTTACTACATTAAAAAAGCTGTCAACAAAATGTCATTTAGCAGCAAATGTTTTTGCGCTTTCTAAATGCCACTTTTGCAGACATATATTATACAGATGAATAACTTCACATGCAGGTTTAGGACATCCACCAAGCAAATTATTTAAAAATAAATTATATATTCTAACATTGCCCAATAAGTCTTAGTTCTCATGCACACTTGACATTTTTACAGCTGCTGTTTTTGGATTTTGAAGTTTTTTTCTACAGCTAGTAAAGCCCCCAGTATGTTATCCTATGTGTCTATGCACACAGACTGTAATCAACATTTTTTGGCTGGGACGTTTTTTGGCTGGAAAAAAAAACCCAGGACTAGTGGGTTTCTAGAGACATTTTTAGCTGTAAAAATGCTCTAACGCTGAAAGATGCTGAAAAATGCTGTAAAACGCTGCAAACCAACGTTTTTGGACTTTTTTTTAAAAAAAAAATTTTTTTTTTGGTACAAAAAACCGCAAAAAAATGCTAAAAACCACAAACGCGGCAAAACGCTAATGCTAAAAAAAGCTGAAAAACCTCACGTTTTTAATGTGGCTTTACACAGCTAACGTTACCAGCCTTATCAAAATGTCCAGTGTGCATGAGGGCTTAGGTCCTTTTCACACAGGCATTAGGTTTGTCTGTTTTTCAGCCATCTGTTGATGTTTGAAAAACAGATATCAATGAATCTCTATGGGCAAGCGGCTGATCATCTGCTGACATCCGTTTACATCTGCTTCTGTTAACATCCATTTACATCCGCTTCCGTTAACATCCGTTTTTTTGAAAGGAAGAAAGCTCTATTTTTGTTCAGTAAAAAGAAGCATAACGGATGAAAAATGGATGTAAGCAGACAAACTGTCCGTTTTTACATCCGGTTTTGCATTGGTAATGGATGTAAAAAAAACGGATGTACAAATGGATGTACAAACTGATGTAAAGCTGATGAAAGATGATCCATCTTTTCTTTGAAAAAATGTAGCTGAACTGATGAAAAAAAAAAACAGACTGCCTGTGTGAAAGGACCCTAAATAAAAGACCCAATCCCCACTGATCTGTAGTTTATTAATTAATGTATTTATTAATTAATGTAGTACATTGCTACCGATGCCCTTTTTAACAAAAGCATGCAAATATGCCTAAAGAAAGACAAGATGAGAAGAAAGCTGTGTAGTGAATAAAACCTGTATAAAACAGTGGAAGTAGTATTTATATCTGAATTTTAATGACGTTAACTTGATGCACATGAAAAATCAGTTATGCCATCAATGAGATTTATTTAATAAGGCAAAGAGCCATGTACAAAGTGGGGTGAGCTGCTGTAAACTCGTCACTAGAGGTACCCATGGATATATAAAAACTGTTATGCTTCCCACCAGCTAAAGTATGATAGTTTGATATAATAATTTTTTGTTAATAAATAAAATGTGATAATATAATAATTTTGATCAATAAATAATAGTTTACTTCAACAAAAGATGATCAGTTCTGAAAGAAGCTCCAATTTGTTTCTACTACATTTTTTTCTTTGTTGCACTGCTAAACCTATATGGTTATAATTTATATCAATGTTTAACCCCGCTGGTGCTGATATTAGGAAGAAAGAAGCCTTCTTCCTCACATCATAGCAGCTTCTCACCAAGATTCTCCAGCTCTGGCCTGGAGAATCTGGGATGGAGATATTTTAAAGAGATGGCCAGTGAGATCTTC